TTAAAACAATTACTGTCTCATTTAAGAGTTAGCATACAGTCTTCACCTCAAAATCTTAATAAGGTTCTACAGATGTCTCCGATCATGAAGCAAGGAAAAGCCAAGAAAGGCTGCCTGCTGGTAAGCTATTATAGTGGTCTTCAAACCCTAATAAAGTTATCAGTACAGAAACCCTGGCCGTCAGATTTGAGAAACTAGAAATCTGTGTTTTGTGTTACCTGCCACCCAGTATCTTCAGTAAGCACTCAAACATACAGCTTTAATTCTAATGCAGAATTGTTTATTTTAGTCCTTTAAGTATTAAAAATTCTGTTGAAGATCTCTGTGGCCAGTTAATACAATGAATATGATTTAGTTATGCATAACACACTGTTCAGTAAAAACACATACAAATCATAACACCAAACAGTCACAGAAATTGACTACTTCTTTCTTTAAAAAGTGGGGGACCAGAACAAGACAAACACTGCAGTTAATGTCAAGGATGTCGGGAAATGCAAACTACCTGCTCACAGCATGTGTGATTCTAGCTGAAAGTTTCTACTATGAAGTATATATTCCATTAAAAACTTCACTTTCCATTGTTTTATTCTCAGTTGTAAAGTCTGGGAATTACTTTTGGAAAACATCTTTAGAAAGTATGGCTAAAAGATAAGTAGAGCAGCTAACTAGTAAACTGGTCCAAAGATACTACTTTAGATTTATTATGTGTGGTTTGAGTTAGAAATTTTCTAAATGCTGTAAATAAGTCCTCATATACAGCTCATGAATTATTTCATAGGTATATTTAATTGTTGTAAATATTACTTACAATTATGTATGAAAGTAGAGAAAGCAACGTGCTACAAAGGAGTTTCATTATGAGTCCTCCAGAGAAGCCGCAACCCTCCATGAACCCTCTCTCAGAAACCATAGATTTAAACCCAGGTGTCCTGTGTATTTTGGAAGTTTATTAATAACTATTATCTACAAATTGTGCATTTATATGGAACAAGTAAAACTGTATCTTGAAATGATGCAAAGATAAACCACTGTCCAGTCATTTACAGCAGATTAGTCATCCTCAGGTCTAGATCTCTGCTTAGAAGATATTTAGGTAGAGAATCTTCATGGAAATTAGCATGAGCTATCCATCAAAATACAAAGGAAACCTGAATTCTTGAGACAACAGGTCTTCAGTGAAATTATTTCAATAGTATTACTCGGGCTTACTAATCTATCATATTAGTATTAGTATATTTATCTATAATACTAGAACATACCACCAAGCCCATGATTTTCAAGTATTGCCATCACACAAAAACTTACTCTCATAAATCCACGTGTATTTAGACTTCAACTGTCAAAACTGTGGTCACCACAAATATCCTGTGGGCACATACAACCACAAGAGACAGAGCAGGAGAAGGGAGATTGAGAACTACTGTGAAAGAGAAATATACAGCAGAGATTTAGGTTTCAGGCAATTAATAATATGATTATTTCAAACCTCCAGACACACATTTTACACACACAACACTTGTGAAAAGTTAACTTTACAGCGAAAAGGGAAGACGACCACTGAAATGACACTAGCATTAATTAATTCAATTACCTTAGAAACAACACATGAAAAAAGGAAAATATAGTATCCAACATATGTAAGTTTAATACATTTAATAAGAGAAAACCAAACCAAGTATATACTACATCATTTAATTTTTCTGCATTTTGACTGACTGCAATGAAGGGAATGTTGTAAAAAATGCACCTTTTGCATCAGAAATAAAAGAAAAAAAAACCACTTTTCTTCCTGGGTAAGACAGTGGGTAGCCCTCTTCACTCCTCCCCATACAAAAATATTTAATGTCTTTTTCCTATTCCGGTCAAGAAGTTAATCCTCTGACACTCTGAAGCAAATAGACAAATTCCAGTTTCAGTTATAGAAAAGCACTTAAGATCAGTAACTAGAAACCAATCTCTCCTATACAAATGGTGCATGGTCTACCAAGAACCTGACCACCTATACCCCTTAGACACACACACAGAGCTAGAGAGATTCATTCCAGATAGGTGGATTAACTTGACATCTACATGCATGTTCCAAAAATATACAATTTTTGTTTTCTTAAGTGAAAGATTGGCAAATACAGTCATGACTGCAATCTGCAATTAAAATATGAAGACATACCAACAATAACAATGCCACCCGAAAATAGTAAGTGGAATCCATTATATTCTTTTTTTAATTTTACAAAGTGTAGTCTTAAAAGAGGGTAACTACTTTTGCCACAGATCATACAGACATTTTAGCACCTCACAGTAAGGTTTTATGCACACAAGTAATTTACCATTAAATCTCAGACTGGACCAAATTTCTAATTGTCTACCACACCACCCAATTTCATGCTATACAAGTAAAAACAAAACCAACTTACTGCATAGGGGGCATTTCAAGTTCAGCAGCTGTATTAAATACAACAGCAATGAGCATTCAAAGTTTCTAGCAGACAACAGAAGCAGAAGCAATCTTCGGTTTATTTTTATAGTTAAAAAAAAAAGATAAAATCTGATCTCTTTGGTTCCATGCAGGTTAACTATTGAGCCACCTCCACCTGAAATGTGTATTACAAACAAATCTGTCTGCTTATGATTTATTCTACTCTTATTACTAAAGACAGCATAGTTGATAACTATCCATGATGATCTTCTCCCCATTCCTCAATTACATTTTCCTTAACTTTTTTATTTTTCTTTTTATTCTACAAACAGAAGTCTTATATTCCTATTTTCCCTGGTGTTATCCTACTAAAAACTAAAACTACAATCCATGATTACAGTACAAAGATAGACCAGAAAAGGCTATTCAACATCATCATTTAGAATTATTTAATTCCTAGATCCACATTCTTTCCTGAATCCAAATCTATCCTAATTGCATGATTAGAGGTATTAAGAAAAGGGCATGCAGACTTTCCACCAAACAGCTAACAGCAGCAAAAGACAGAACAGGCACTGCAGGTCATTGGTTTATTTTGAGATACCAATTCTTATGTTACTGTACCCAAGTAGTTATTCCACTGAACCAGGATATAAAGGAAAATTATCAAGAAAACACAGCTACTCTGAAAAGGATCTTATCTGGAATGGAAGACAGTGGGATATTATAGAGGGAACACTAGAACTGAAAGAATTAAGTGTGGTTTGTGAAGCAGCAAGTGCAAAGAGCAGCCTGCTCAGCTCAAATGAAGTTTGAGTCTAATACACTGGAGAAACTGTTCAGAAACAGTTCATCTGTACGAAATATGACCCCTGTAAAGCTGCCAAAAATCAGTGAGAGCATACAAGTGCTAATCACGCAAGCTAAAATGGCTCAAGCTGCTTTGACTTACATGCATGCCTAAACATAGATGACATATCTTAAATTATAAATTAACAAAAAGAACGCAACTGTTTTCTTTACCTGTACTTCTATATGCAATCAGTACACCTCCTCATCATCCACAAGCAAGTGCACCCCCCACTCCTGTACTTGGAAATCTGAACACAGCTGACATGCAAGACTCCTCCTTCCATACCTCACCCCCTCAAGCAGGTCTTTGGAGATGTGCAAGCATTTTAAAACAGAAAGAATCCAGTAATCTATTTGCTGGTATGTTAAAAAGTGTACTGTATAAAAACATCACCAGGTCATATTCATTGAGGGAAGTTACTGGTGACTAGAAAAAAAGGCAAAAGAAAGAAAGGTTTCTTTCTTTTACTGGTGACACTCTCCAGAGTCATCAGTACTTAAAATACACAGTTTGGCTTTTTGATTTAGGATAAAATGCATGCATTTAGAGGTTGACTTCAAATATTTTGTTAAAATACATAGCTATTACCTTAAATATATTTTGCCATACAAGCTCTAAACAAAACGCATACTTTAGAACTGGGGGGTGGGAAGAGGTAAAGGAAAACAGAGTGTTTCTGGCTTTAATAGTACCACACTACCATATCTGGAATACTAGTTATTTTACTAACAAGAATTATTTACTAAACAATATTCTGTAATGATCTATGGAAGTGTTTTCCCTATCACAACATTCATGCCCCACAGAAAGGTAGAGTTCCCAGAAAATACTGTTTTCTAAAAGCAAAAACCACAATTCTTTCAAAATAAAGAAGCAGCTGAATCAGAACAAAAGATGTCCACAGGAAATATTATCCACAAAGTTGTCTGCTAATCCGAGGCAAACAGAAATGAAGGGACAAAAAACGCGACCATGTACCGGTTTCCTTTTACTGACGCCCTGACAACATTCCCTCGTTCAATTGGTCGTGTGCCCTTTCCAAGCCGTAAGGGATGGCATTCCTCCTTCCCTTCGCACCAGGGCGGACCGTATGCGTCGAAGGGGCAGGGAGCAAAGAGGACGGAGGCGGCAGGAATAATCATTATTTAACTCGGTAAAGGGAAACCCGCTACCCGCAGCCGCACGACCCACCCCCTGCGTTCCACGTCCGAGATTCCCCCGGAGGACACGGGTGGCCGGGACACGGCTCCCTCCGGGAGCGATGGCTGTCTTGTGACGGTGAGGGCTGTGCTATCGCCGAGCCAGCGCGCAGCAACCGCGGCGCTGCCCCCGCCGCATTGCCCCGCTTTCCCCTACCCACAAAACCGAACCTGCGAAAACGGCGCCCGCGAAACCCACCCCGGTGAGGTACCAATAAAAATTAAAAGAATAATAGTAAAAAAAAAAAAAAAAAAAAAAAGCCCAGCCCGAGAAAGGCAAGCAGCGGCGCCCGCCCCAGCGCGCCGCAGCCGGCGCGCACACAGCCCGCCGGGGCC